GCTTACAATTTTACCATACCAGATGCATTTTGCATTTTTTCAGTACCTCCTGAACTGTACACGTCCAAATTGCTATTCCTGCAGTTAAAAGTTATAAACAACACCGTTGCATTTTTACAAAATATGATTCAAATGTCTCTATGAACACTTTCAGGGCTGTATTTCTAAATACAATATTGCAAAGTACTGCGTTTGCATATTTCACCGAGCTTTGTTCCCGCAAAATGTAAAAACGGCAAGACTTTATCGATTTTAATGATAACGTTACGTCAGAGACACGTATATAAGTTGCCCATTTATAATGTCCAAACGAATTACCGAAAGCAAATATGTGGCACAGTAGAACGACAAAAAGAGTTACAGACTATGCTAGAGACGGTCATAGAAGCCCGAGAGCTATCTAATAAATAATATAGGAGACAAACAGATTGAATAGGTTCGTAATAGTTTGTTGCCTTGGCCAAAATATTCAAAGATCTATACTGAATGAGCTGGAGCGAGTGTCGAACGCACAAATAATTTATCTACAAAAGCAGCTGCATAAAACTAACAATCGTAGTAACAGAAGTAACAACAAGAACGCCAATATCACTAGCAACGGAAGAAGCAAAGCAGCAAACAAAAATGAATTAGCACCAACAACAGCAACAGTAGCTGCGATAAAAAGGCAGTAGAGTCAGTAACTAAAGCAACAATAAAATTACCAACATTAGCAGCAGTGAAACTTAGTAGGATAGCACAAATAATTTAGCTGAAACAACAACAGCTACAGATACATCTACATAAACAACAGCAACAACGACTGGCAACTACACCATCAGCAAGTAATACATCAAAAACTGTAATTTTAGTAATAACTGTTAAATAGAGGACAAATTGCGAAGTGAATGTATTTGTTAGGTTTTTAGTTTGCTCACTTATGCTACTGCTAAGCCTACATGCATCCACCCTGATTTCTCTTAAACAAGACTCTACTTCATACATGTTCGTAGCCGTCGTCCGTTATTGACGTCTGTTACTGTCGTCCATTATTGTCGTCCGTTGCCGACGTCCGTTACCATGATGCTTGCCGTAGGCTACAAGACTCCCGTCATGTCATCAGCCTCCCAGAACATGTATTGAGCGGCGTCCTCTTTCGCAGGTGTCATTTCAACACTACCACTCGCCGCTTATACTGAGATTTTGAGAGCGTCGACTTATTCTTCACACCCGTCGCCTTGCGCAGGTAGTTGAGTATCTTGGTTCAAAGCCCTTTTGTTAACATATCTGCAAGTATTATTTTTGTTTCAATGGAATCTTCAATAGTCCTTGTTGCACTTTCTCTCGTATATAGTGGTTTCTGATGTCCACATGCTTAGTCCGCGCATGGTATCCGGATTTTTTTAGCCAATTTAATTGCTCCTTGGTTATAATCTCATACTTGTGTACCTCCCACTTGCTCGTGACCCATGTCTTTCAGCATAGCACGCGTTTATAAAAACCTCTTGTGTGCACAGGCTAAGCGCCATATACTCCGCCTCCGCCGAGACGGGTGCAATGGTATACGAACACTTCGACTTACATATCACTGGAGCGCTCGCAATCATGAGTATAATATCCGAGACCGAACGTCTGTTATTAGTATTGCTACCCCCATCAGCGTCCGAGTGGGCATTGAATGCAACGTTGACACTGCCTCGGTAAGTGATACAAGTCTGGCGAGTAGTTCACAGGTTGTGTAATACACGAATAGCCGCATTCCAATGTTGGAGCCCGGGTTTCTTAAAAAACGTGATAGTTGCATAACCACGTACGCGATGCCCGGGCGCGTACATGTCGTTATGTATAGGAGACATCCGATCAAAGAACGATATGGCTTCGACCGCATGACAGAGCGTCCATACTCCGTAGTAAGCGACTGCGACGACAACAGCTTTGATCCTAATGCGCATGGATTGTCAATACTCTTAGAATCTTGTTGTCCGAATCGCTTAGTCACCTCGTCGATATAGCGAGTCTGCTTGGTCATGAGCGTCTTAGCAGCTCTTTCGTGATCAATCTCAATGCCCAATAGAAACCTTTCTTTTTCCCAATTCCTTCAATTTAGAAGTATCCTTGAGCGCTTTTTTTTTACCTGATTGGTCTCGTTGGTTGCTTTTGCTGCAATTAACAGATCATCGACATAAAGTCCAACGTCAATATAGTCTTCCTGGGAGCGCTTGACATAACACATTGACCAGCACTGCAACCTTAGAATCCATTCTTGATTAGCACACGATGAACTGTCTTGTTCCAGGCGCCTGATGCTTATTTAAAATTTTTAAATGTGTTAAAGCCTTGTTCCGCTGACATACGAATCCCTTAGCATTGTTGACACCAAGCGGAACTTCCACATAGACATCGTCCGTCAGCACACTGTTAAGAAAAGCTGTTTCAACGTCCATTTGCTCCATTTAATAGTCGCATATTGCACACAGTGCGAGAATGATACGTGTAGAATCTATGTTGGCGACTGGGGAGCATGTCGCGAAGAGTCGACACCATATTTTTGCTCGAAACCTTGCGCGACTGGTCTTGCTTTGTAACGCAGGATAGCGCCATTCTAATCACGCTTGTTGGCAACGACCCATCTGGATCCAATAGTGCGACCAATATCCCTTCGTGACTTCAGTGTCCATGTCTTGTTCTGCTCATGCGAATGAAGCTCAGAATCCATTGCTTTTCTCTCCATTTGACTGCATCGTTACCAGACATTGCTTGAGCATATGCTGTTGGAAAATCGGTATCCTCACCAATGCTTACCGCGTGCGCGAGAACGGCTTCCGCAATGAGACCGGCCTTCCTTAATCCGAGCACACTTTGAAGTAGTTAGGCCGTCACTTCCTTGATTTGTCTCTTCGTCTCCTTGTCCTTTCAAGTATCAAATTGAATCACGTCTCCTTCTTGAGCGTTCCACTTTAGGTTGGAATACCAGTCGCTCTTCCTGCTGCTCGTGAGGTTGTAGTATGTAGTCTTCTTATTTATATTGCTTTCAAACAGGCCACTTAATCAACAGCAACGGTGATGCCACCACGCTTGGCGTTCATTCCACACCGACAGCTTCCATCGCTTCGTCCAGATCAGGCTGCTGATTCTCGAGATGCCGATCATTTACGTCATCACTATCCTCAATCATATGAATGACTGGTGTCGGCTGCATGTCTTGCGCTTCGATGATGCCGTTCATTTATACGCTCAGCCATTTTAACAGAGCAGGTCAGTCTAATCTGGCATTCTACAAATCGATAACACGTTATCCCTTGATATTCTCTGCATAGCCGAGAAACATGCACTTAAAATCTTTGGGTTCTAGCTTTGTTCTTTTTGCATCTTCTACATGGGCGTAACCCTGCGATCCGAACACTCTTAAGTGATACATTTGGGGCTTCATCTTATTAGCCAACTCGTACAGCGTAATTGTAGGATTAGCCGTGTTGATGGAGCGATTTATGGAATACAACGCTGTGCTTACAGCTTCCTCCCACCTTTCAGTCGGTACGCTCTTGTAGTTCATCATACTGCGAGCTTTTTCCATGATAGTTCTGTTAATGCGCTTCACCACTCCGTTGTGTTGAGGGCTGTACGGAACAGAGCGCTGGTGTACAATAACATTCTGTTGGCTTATGCTAGCCACGGTCCTGTTTACGAACTCTGTTCGATTGTAGGAGCGCAAACACTTCATACGGATATTGCATTGGTTCTCGTACAGAGTCTTAATCTTCTTAAACTTTTCAGTCACTTCGCTTTTGCTCTTGATTAGAAATTTTCGAACCTACCTCAAGTAGTCATCGACAAAAGTGAGAACGTACTTAACACCTCCCTTCGAGGAAGTTTTGCTTATTTCATGACATCTGTGTACACACGCTCGATCCGTTGTGTAGTTTTATCATCACACGTGACGGGTTCGTTGTGACTGTCTGATTTTTCTTCAATCAGCCGGCAATTAATGTCTTCGTGTCGTTCTTGATCAGAGGATTGCCTTTAGTCGAGCTCTGTGTTTTGAGCAAAGTTTACTTGTTTAAGAGTTCTATACGGGCGTGCCAGATCTCCAACTGAGTGTAAACCTCGAAAGATTTCACGAGTCTTGCTTCTTCATGGTTGCAATTTAGCATTTAAGATTTCCCTTTCCTTGTCTCTGTAGCAAGAGCTTAATCTTTGTTCCGGATGATGCACAATGAGCGCGAGAATTCCACGCTCATGCCTCGTCCCGCCAGTTTACCAATGAGAGTAATCTTCTGTCGAGCCCTGAATAAACATCACTCATCCATACGAATGCCTTACGTGTCTAAACTGGTAAGTTTCACCGTCCCGGATCATTCGACGAGTAATTCTCGCCTTCTGCAACAGTTACTTCGAGGTTTTAGTCTCTTGTGTTCGAACAAGTCCTTTATGTGACGTGTCATGTAGGATTTGGCACCACCGTCAATTAGCCATTCGGTTGTTCTTTTTTCATCAATCGCAAGTACTGCATCACCGCTGCTATCCTTGTTCCCAGCTGGAAAGCTTCGTCTGATGTGGCTATACTGGTCACACTAAAAGCACTTTCCCTTAAAATCGCCTTTATTCCGTGAAGCGCCCATATTGCGAGATGGGCCATCTTTTTAAGGGTTGTTCCTTTGTGGTGTGAATTTTCGAGCATTCCCAATCACGCGGAACGCTTTTTCCGTGGCCTCCTTCTTGTGCAGCCTTTCGGACCAATGAAATTAGCGCATACTCTGACGGAAGACTGCTCAGATAGACCACCAGCTGCCGTCACTCATCGACTTGATCTCCAGGGTTTTGTAGTCCCACAACCAGCTCGTCAAAAGCGTCCAGATGTACTGCCCTACTTGTACCACTCTCCATATTAATCTCGTGAAGTCGGCGCGTCATCGTCACTCGATTGTGGATAGTCGAGCGGTTAAAGAAGCCGCGGAACGTTCCTTAATCCTCCATAATGCGCGTTGCCGACCTAATCCTGGTCTATTGCTGAATCCAACGCCTTAAGCCATGATGCCCAGTGCCTTGGCGTCGTTCATGAGCCACGCATCCGTAATGTAGTATTTGTCCTTGGGAATTAGCATGTGCCCCAGCAGCCCCTTTCTCTTTAGGGCTCTCCTCATGTTAAATTCCCAGTGGTAATAGTTTCCATTTCCTACGAGGACTTCGGTGTGCTTGCTGGTCATGGCGGGTTGCGGCTTTTAACCTGTTGAGTAGAGGACAAATTGCGAAGTGAATGTATTTGTTAGGTTTTTAGTTTGCTCACTTATGCTACTGCTTAGCCTACATGCATCCACCCTGATTTCTCTTAAACAAGACTCTACTTCATACATGTTCGTAGCCGTCGTCCGTTATTGACGTCTGTTACTGTCGTCCATTATTGTCGTCCGTTGCCGACGTCCGTTACCATGATGCTTGCCGTAGGTTACAAGAATCCCGTCATGTCATCAGCCTTCTAAAACATGAATTGAGCGGCGTCCTCTTTAGCAGGTGTCATTCTCAACAATAACAATAACAACATTAGAAAACAATGGTAAAAAGCGATATTATCACATACTCTGACATCATCAACATCTGAATACGTGTACGGCCCGGTCGATGATATCGAAATGCTTTCGCGTCTTTCCTATGCTGTGTGCGTACGCAACTAGTGGCTGCTTTCGCAGCTTGTACTCGACAGGACCCCCTCCTCTGCCCCCACAGCAGATCGATGGCTGCACACTGTTGTAGTAAGGCGGTACGACTTAAGAAGGCTTTTTATACATACTAAGTTGAATTGAGTACGCTAGAACATTCCAACCTATTTTATCTTCTTTATTTAAAGCATTACATTTTCGTGATTATATTTGTTGTTTATTAACAGCAATTCCAATTGGATAGTAAACATTACTTCACCTGATTATGCAAAGCTCAAAAAAACGTCACCAGTGCAATTTGATGTTAAAACTATATCCCGGTGTTCACTGTCTGCTGTTGGCATCGTTTTCCAGAAAAGCTGTTGCCTTGGTCACATTAGGCACAATCGCCCCCTCTTCACCAAAACCTCTTTGTCAACCACGTCTGCTAAAGTATGATGCACCACTGAGATCCTTATCGTCAATAGATAGGCGATACCCCTCGCCAGAAAATTTTCAGGTGGCATTAAAAAAACTTATAATTACAATTAGCGCATTTGAGTCTTTACCGTTGCAATCACTGCAGTTTGCATAACCATCGGAAATTCGCAAGATGAAATTGGACATGGAGGTTTAGTGATCACAGTTGAGTCACAAAAATAATAATTTTGGCCTTTGCATTCAAGCGGGGTGCCCTCTGTAGCGCCGTCGTACGGACTGGATCACCAAATATGGCCGAGATAGTAGGTAATTGTAGCTAGGACGTGAGGGCTATTGCGAATAATTCTTTCTGTCAAGAAGGTCACCAAAGGATACCTTTTGGATAGAAGAATATCCAGAAATCTCTTCTTAAAAGGCCACCTTTTGGCTGGTAGAACATCCAAGAATTACTTCTTGAAATTTTTTTGAAAAGTTTACGATACATCAACGTTAAAGTTTTGAACGCGGGCATAGTTTTGACATTCAAAAGAATCATTGAAAAGGTCAAAAAATGAGCTCATTAGTACCTAATCAGCACACAGTATAATCCGTTTCCTAGACGCGAGCTACACATAATGGGTAAGTAAATTTTCGAAGCATGATGTAGTTTTCTGGTCCACATTTCACATTTCAAAGAACGGGCTCCGGAGCTTGCCCTTAAACCTGATAATATAGAGATCATGGTAATTTGCACACCCACTTATTGCTATCCGCACCCCCTCCATTCCGGTAGCAATAAGTCCCACAATGGTAGCCTCAGACCCTCATCAATAAATTTATGTACACGAAGAAATGACACAGGATACACTATTGTCTTAATTAAACGTCTTTCAGAGTACTTAGCTCATATATATACATCATTGCCTGACTCAAAATTTCCGTTTCAACTAGATAATAGTAAATGATGTTCTAGCATGGCAAGAAATGCAGAGGAAGTTGTCTAGATGCAAGTACTGCTGCCGCAACCAACGATGTTGGCTATGACGCAATTCGGATCAGTTTATGTGGTTTAGACAGCATTTTCATACTCGGAAAAGCTGAAACATTGTCAATGCGCTCATGAATGTTTTTAACGCATTTTATCTTGATTTACAACAGCATTCTTCTCCGCCCTCCCGTACGATGAAGCACCATGGACAAAAACAAACAGATGAATTTTTGTGTCGTAAACACCGTGACCTTCCGTCATATATACTTACTTCTTCGGCTGCAACACAAGCTACACTGTTTTTTATTTTACCTGTCGATTTTGCTTCGTAGCGACTGGACGAAAAACCTTCTACATTAGCAGCTTTCTGTACCGCGATCCGTGCCTGCAGACTATGCTTTAAAGCGAATGGACGCTAAAACTTTCTACATTATCAGCTTTCTGTGCAGCGATCCGTGCATGCCGTTGAGAGTATTATACGCATCCTCCAGAGTTAGTGCTGCAAAAAAGACATAAATATAATGCTCACCAAGAAAGGAGAATAATTTTAATGGGCGTTATGACTTCGTGTTGAGGGTAATCATATTGATTTAGTAGTGGCTTATAAACGCGGTATAATTGCTTAAGTTGCGATATTAAAGCGTTAAATTATTAGCTAATCATCGAAAAGTATTTTATGAATTTCAGTTTTGGGGTGTGCGGATCGCAAAAAGTGGGTGTGTGGATACCCATTACCGAATTTTTCGGATTTGTTTGCAAAACTTTTTAATTTCATCACATCAACTGCTTTTCTTTATATCACATATTTTACCAGAAATTATGGTGTTTCAACGCAGGCCACAGTGAGTGAATTTTACCGAGGTGAATCGAACCCAGCCGACTGCAGGCAGTAAACAAACCCCAACCGCACTGATAAATGTCTGCGTGGAAGAAAACAAGCGGAACTGATGTGCGTACGAGACTAGTTATCAACACAGTATTGGTAACGGTGTTGGTTACTGATACTAATGACCATATGTCATGGACGACACTGTGTGATAGTGTGTAACGATGGGATCGACTCATCGTTTTGTTACTAATATTATAGAGTCGATATCGATAGGCTTAGAGTAGTACAACGAGACGAACTAAGGACCTAGCTAGATGATAATTCACTTTCCATTTTACCTTCTTCTAAGCTCTCCCACCTCAACTCGCTCTTGGCTGTTGCCAAAAGTCAAAGGTTATGAGCCCAACTACGCGGATGCGGGCGCATACTCCGCGAAGATAACTACTTCGTGTGGGAGTTCAACGCAAGGATGAGGCTGGCAAAGAAGGGATTGCTAGAGCACCTAGACGCTATGAAGGCCCCAGAAGAAGGAGACGCAAGCGTCAACTTGGAAAGTCAACGACATGAAGGCCTTCGCGATTGTGTCCACAATGATCAGCACAAATCTTCAGTCAATGGTGCGCACGGCAGAGACAACGGCAAAAGCATGGGACATACTGAAGCTTTCTTCTGCGGCAAAGTATGCACAATCGTGTGCAGTTGCGGCGGCAACTACAGAGTTCAGTTGGCCAAGGAGGAGCTCATGGTCACTCCTGAGTTTGACGAGTGTGCATGACTATGCAAGCTGTGGGACAAGAGTCTCACAGGATGAGCATTTGGTCATCCTATTGGGTAGTCTAACGAGAGACTATGACCCTACGTCAAGATAATTGAGAAAGCCCGGAATGACACTGTTTCACGCTAAGGAAAGCTGAGACGGGAGTACGATGGAATGGGAGGACAGAACCCAAGAAATCGCACTGAAAAGTACGCACACTTCCAAGTACAAGAAAGGTCCGCGCAGACATATGGGAGTCAAGTTCAAGAGGTGAAAGTTTTCGGGAAGTGTTACCGATGTAACAAATATGGGCACAAGGTCAAGTTGCAAGGCTGAACAAGGGAGCAGGTCTGGGGGGCTTACGCGTCAGTCGGACGTCAGCTGGATGGTTATTGGACAGTAGCCGTCCCGACGAAATGGTTTTCGAATTTAAACCACTGACGGCCCGATCTGATCACCATAGCAGACGGCAGCGAAGTGGAACGCAAGTGTTGGGACATGGGTGCAACTCAAGACTGGTGAAGTGATCAGGTCGAAAAACGCTATGGGTGCCGGGCCTGACCGAAGGCTACGTCATACGGCTTGTCAAGGGTCTACAAGTGTCTCTCAGTCTGAGCGTCAGTCGAGTAACACGGTCGTTGCCCAAATACCAAGACGCAGGTACGTCTTAAGCAGCCGGCTGAGGTAGCCAACGTTTGCGGAGGCACTCAAGGCAGAATCGTGACGGTCAGAGGGCTGATCTACAAGTGTGGCATGCAAGATTAGGTCACCGTCAACGAAGTGCTCAAGGGTATGGCAGGTTGCGTCAATGGTTAAAGTCAAGAGATCAAGGGTTGAAGTGATACGAGTCGCGAAGGGTGCATCATGGGTAAAGCAACCGTCAAGGTTTCCGAGTCACCATACGGACACGTGAAACCAAGGGGTGTTGCAGTTGGTCCACAGTGATGTCATGGGACCTATGGAACGAAGTCTCGAGGAGGTCAAGTTTGTCGTGACTTTTATTGATGATTACGAGATATATAGTCGCATACTATATGAGAAAAGTCGGAAGTGACGGATCGCTTTATAGAGTATAAGGCCTTATGGAGAACAACGTCCAAGAAGTCAAGTGTATCAGGACGGACAACGGGACGGAATACGTCAACAGACGTTTCTCCGGTGTATGTCGAAAATCTGTATCATGCATCAGACGACGGTACCCTATTCGCCACAACAGAAGGGTGGCCGAACGCATGAACAGGACACTGACAGAGCGGGCCAGGCAATGCTCAGCCATATGCAAGTGGATAAAATTTGGGGGCACGATCCGTCCACCATCCAGATACCGACTACCCTGACTCGAGACCCGAGTGTATTGGTCAAGGTAGCCGTCGCACGCGGCCAGTCCAAGCTCGGTATCATACCGCATCACGAGGTAGCCCACGCAAATGATAGCCCCCCACGTACAGCTCGCAGTTCGTTCATGACGAAGACACGTTTCTATCGTACGCCCTCCAAGACAGCAGGAGAGTCACAGTCAGCCGCAGCGCCAACAACGAGGCCTACCACAGCGTCAGGCCGAAACGTGTTCCAAGCGACGCCAAGTTGAAATGGTGACGATGTTGAAAGCAGCCTGAAGGTCAAGCAAGCGATTGATACGACCAGTCGCAGCATATCAACCGCAACCGCGATTTCCACTACGCACAGGACCTACGAACAGTGAGCATGGTTAACCAAGGCAAGAACAAAACACGTATTTATGACGCCACCCCAACGTAACAACGCGTGATATGGTAACCCGGACCAACGAAAAGACCGGACGTTCAACAAGCGTCAAACCAAAGGTGAACAAGGTCGCCTCAAACCTGAGTATTCGATACAGCCCGTAGCCGCCAGCACTAGAGTTGCTACATGACTTTCACCGTGGCAACCTCACTCATACGTGTTTTGGGTGTGCGTCAGGATGTTGATTCATCATATGATGTCGACACTGTTTTCTGTATGGCGTTTGGAAGAAGGTATAGTATACCCTCCTCGGGTGTCGCAGAACAAAAGCTAGCTGAAAGTCGTATTGAACAGCGCCGCTACAGGTCAAGAGTTTTGTGAGATGTTCCCAGGCAGCCATGCACGTCAAAAGAAGTGGTTTACGCTTAGTGGACGACCAATGGCGAGGGGCAACGTAGTGAAGTGTCGTATCTGGCAAGTACGCCAACAATCGACGTCGAAGCATCAAGCGGATTCAGAATCAGAAATACAGTGGCGAAAGCAGGTCAAACAGTGTTGAAGGAAGCGAGGTCAGTGCAAAGCGACACAGATGAAGACGCCGTATCGTCGTTAGTGGGTGTTGTAGGCAACAGGCAACGACCAGATTGCGTATACAGTAGTCAGCTGAGGTCTTTGGAATTTCCCGAAGAGCACTGGAAGCAGGATTCGATGTTGCGATATCTGAAGACGACGAGAGCAAAAATTTGTTATGAAGAGTTTCAGGCAATCTTCAGCTGACGCGTACACCGATGCAGAGCAAGAAATGGAATCGCAGCGATTTCGGGGTTTATCATGATTAATGCGCACCTGTGATTTCAATCGAGGCACAAGGTGGCACTGACACGCAAAGCAGGTATATGCTCTTTCTTTAGGTGCAGGAGTTCGTGGACAAGAAGTCACCAAGGAGATGCAAGTGCAGATTAACTATGCTGTCAAGATTCACGAAGACAACCAGAGTGCAATCGCTATCGCTAAGAACGACGGCTATCAAAGTCGAGCGAAACATATCGACATCAGATACCATTTTGTGGCGAACAGGTGAAAGACAAGATTATCGACCTGCAGTATACTGAAACCAAGTCACAGCTGGCAGATTTTCTGACCAAACCGATTTCGACAAAGAAGTTCGAGTCGCTGCTGGACAAGGCCAGGATCAGAGACTTCTAGTCGAGGGGGTATTGGTAACGGTGTTGGTTACTGATACTAATGACCATATGTCATGGAGACACTGTGTGATAGTGTGTAACGATGGGATCGACTCATCGTTTTGTTACTAATATTATAGAGTCGATATCGATAGGCTTAGAGTAGTACAACGAGACGAACTAAGGACCTAGCTAGATGATAATTCACTTTCCATTTTACCTTCTTCTAAGCTCTCCCACCTCAACTCGCTCTTGGCTGTTGCCAAAAGTCAAAACACAGACTACTTTCCTTAATCACTGTAAGTAGTTTTATCGAAGCAGGGAACATCGTGTGTGGTTTTATTATCACGGTTATAATTCAAAAAAAATTAGTTACGTAATCAGAAAAAAACGCGGAAGTTGTGTCCCCATCGACTATGTGCTGCCCTACATTCTATATCTAAGATAGGGAAGCAAGCTCTGGAGCTCGCCCTTCGATATTAGTAATTCAGTTTGAGAACTGAATCAAGTTGCAAATCACTACACAACAGCAGTCACTGAAGAAGGAGTTTGTTGATGTTCGGCATTCAACCTTGCGCACAGTCACCAATAGCTTTACCCTCCGGGCTCACAACAACTGTCTTCAGTTCGTAACCATGTGGCGGTCGCCTGCACGTTTTGGTCTGCAGACACGACATTTCTGATGTGAAAGTAGCTCTTCTCTCATGAGATTCGTTTCTTTGCGATAAGCTGAAAGAGCTCAACCAGCGGCGCTAGTAATAAGAACGCTGCTGACCGAGCAAAATCCCGCGAGAGGTCTTTCCATATTATGCTTCGGTAGTGCATAATGGAAGCGAAATTCTGCTGACAAAACACATGGATTGCCATGTGGACGGGTACGGGGATAACTTACATTTGTTAAGTATGCTGCCGTAGCTAATGCTTCTATCGCCTTGCTACGGTCTCTGCTTCCGGAGCTTTTTAATGAATCCTCTTGCTGACCAAGTAATTGCACACGCTTGATCCTGACTCTTTCGCATCTGCGGCATCGAAGGAAGAGCTTGTTACGGCGGATCGCGCTGGTTCAGGCTTGGCTGGAAAAATACGATATATGGAGCATTTGCATCGACAAGCAGCATGCACGACGCCAACAACTGCCTCCACGAAATGAAGAACCCCAAAGGGCCACAGCGATAGACTGCTCGAGAGTATTGCATTGCTGCAAGACCACAGAGTCAGCCATCTTTGCGGCTCTCTCAGCGCATGTGGTTCATCACAGCACGCAGGCCGTACATGAGCCCAGCCTGCTTGCGAGCCTCAGCAACAAGTAGAATGACGTGGCATTTTTCCGACGGGCGGAGAACTCTGTCAAAGTGCGCGAAGTCTTCCTTCCGCACCTTCCAGGGCGTACAGGCCACCTTCTTGAGAAAAATCTTGGTCGGCCGGTTCAAGTACGTGTTTACCAGGCGGTAATCATAGTCATCGTGGCAAATTCCAAAGATACGGTGCACGTAATACCAGACAGCATCCCGGTACGGACTGGTGTCCACAAATTCGTCCTTATTCGCGCCAAAGCAATCATACGTCAGCTTGCTAGTCAGGTTAAATAGGTCTTCGAGAATCTGGCCAGCCTCGCCTGGGAAATACCGCTTTACAAGAGAGAAGCAGTGTTCATCCCAGCTAAAGTCCTCCGTATGCAGCACTTCGTACTCCTCCGATCGTACATCAAAGTCTGTATAGCGAATGACGCTGCCTCCACAGAAGCGCCACAGCGTATCCATCCTCCGACTGTCGGTCGGCGCATTGACTCCAAACGCTGCTTCATCGACCACCACTTCAAACCCATCATCTGTGCCATACTTGTCCTCGTCCTCTGCCTCGTCTTCTCCGTCTTGCTGCTGTTGCTGCTCATCCCCAACTTCTTCCTCTTCGTCTGCCGTATCACTGTCCAAATTGCTGTTCTTCTTCAGCTGCTTCAGCGGCATCTCATCATCGCGGTCAATCGTCGACAGGTCCACGCTCGAGCAGCTACTGGCGTCCGTTGCTTCGTGGCGGTCCACGTCTTCCGCCGTCAACGACTCGGCGTCCAGCGCGTATCCAAACTGTCCAAAGACCGCCAGGTCGACTTCTTCTGCACAGCCTACACCGAGCGCAATGCTGGCCATCGAATGCGCCTGGCAGAGCACGATTATGGCATGCACGAGCTCCGAGACCGACCACGAATCGTCCTGATCCGAGCGCAAGAGCTCCGCCACGTGCTCCGCCGTGAGCAGCCACGGCCGATGCGCCAACAACGAGCTCAGTTCGTGCAGTCGAAAGAGCTTAGGCGGGACGTAGTCCAGGCCCTTGATCCAGTCGCTGTCGCCGCCATTCACGACAAAGTTGTACTGCTGCAAGTCCGCGAGGTAGTGGCATCGGAGCTCACTGGCGCCCATGACCGCAATGTAGCTCCCCCAATGGAGCGGCAGCGTCCCGTCCCGCGTCATCGTCGCAGCTAAACTGCGGTCAAAGAGCTCCAAGTAGCTGCGATGCCAGGCCAAGATCTGCATCAAGTGCGTCACGCGGCCCGTGCGCAGAAACGAGTCCTGGAACAGCGACTGCAGCGCCTCGTCGTCGTTGGCGTCGACGCGCGCGACGCTCTCGACCGCGGCCTCGTCCTCCGGCGCGTGGCCGTTGCTGAAAAAGTACGAGACGCGCGTCTGCCGCGCCCGCAGCTCCTGCGCCTCCGGGTACTTGTGCTCGACGACGTGGACGATCTGGCCCAAGGCCTCGCGGATCGCTGGGAACGGCGCGTCGAGCGTCAGGCGGAGCGCCGTGGGGAAGAAATCCGTCACGAGCGTCGCGTCTTCGCGCGCCAGGAGCTCCTGGAGCTCGTCCGAGATGCGCGCGAGCATCTGCTGCTGGACGTCGGCGTCCGAGACGAGCACGCGGCGGAAAAAGACGTCGCGTTTGACGCCGACGCGCCGCGCGACTTCGGCCAGCGGGAGCGGCTCCATGCTGCAGTGACAAAGTGGACAAGTCACTTGAAGTTTGTATGGACGAGCGACCGCGAGAGCAACGGGCTGTGACGCTCGAGGTTCAACTTGTGGAATGGACACACTCGGGCCGGCCCGGATCGTCGAGAGGACGGGGCGAGGCGTTTGAGCCAATGACGAGGCGTTGTGTCGTCGATTGCAGCCAATCGGGGGGCGTGATGTGACTGCATCGGCTTTCATTGGCAGAGAAGAGTGTCGACGACCACGAGGGCAAGTCCGAGCCAAGCCCCGTCTGCCTCAAGTTTGGCGCGACTTCTCTGGCGCCAGCTATCGTGAGCTCGCGAGCGCTGGGGAGATGGATAGACCGTCGACAGATTGACACCGACATTCCTCACGCCAGACGCAGCAGCTCATTGGGGCGACGCCGTGTCCGACCGTTGTGCCCTTTTTTTACCAGCATGCAGCAGTTAGCCGACTTGTGGCTGGCCTATGCTCGCTGATACACTAGACTAAGTACGATTGTGCGGGACGCATTTGGTGCTCGAGAGCACGCACTTGATTGCTACAGTCGTGACTGTTAGTACTTGGCTTGTAGCACACAGCAACAGCTCGACCGCTGTCTCGTATCTACTACGTATGGCACGACCGTTTGTCAAACGCCGTGCTTGGCATACGCTTAACATCGCGAAAAGTGATTACGGTGCAGAGCTCGAGTGTATGTTTTCAGTCGACAGTCGACGAGAGAACGGCCGACACTGATTGCGACATGCACATCACCGTTTGTGTTGCACCTTTCGACAAGCTGAACGACAGGTTTCGACCGCTGCATTCAGTAATCAAGTCTGCAGTGTAGATCGAGACGGGTCGAAGAAACGGGCACAATGGATGATGATTGCTGCTGACCATCCTGTCGTCAAGTCGCTGCTCGACTGGTCTGACACGCCAGGAAAGACAGTGCATAAGCCGACAGTGCGAGCCTTACCGTACATTGTAAATGGTTTGCAGAGCAACGCTCAGCCGCACATTCAGACGCACAAGGCGACGACTATGCGGTAAGCATGTTGTGAATAGGGCTCGGTTGCTGTTCGGCAACAGATAGCAGTAGCGTTACTAATCTCACTACTACGACGATCATTACGACAACTACAACTACGACCAACGACGACTCTTGTGAAGGGTTGTTTAGTCCAGTTGTAAAGGCCATACAGTGAGTGACACTACTATTGCGTGTGTGATTGCAAGTCTTGGTCTTGAAATTTCTGGAGCTGTAGCCACTAAAAGGGCAGATAGGTTGACGATAATTGACGGACGTGCCGAAAACTTCCGTCTGGCAGAGCGTGCTTGACGTCAAGTGCGTCACTCGTGCAGTAATGAGATCTGCACCCTAGGCGAGCTCTATATTGACGACACGGCAACATTTCCGCAGTTTTCGCCATCGTGCGAATAGTATGCTGTACAGATTCTGTGGCTATGTGAAAGTCGATGCCGAAAGCGGCTTTTAGTTCAAACAGAAGAGCTTCTACGAAACAGCGATGCAGAATGATGCGAGCGTGCGAGCTGACGAAAAGAAGAAGGGGGCATACAGCCCATCGTCCACTGCCTTTTCACAACCCTCCACTCGTTCGATTTGGAATTTGTTCAGCACTGTAGGGAACCAGCGATTTGTACTAACGAGTAGCAACGTCAGCCACAACGTTCATTTCTCGTCACTAAATGTACACACGGCTGTTGCTGCTGATTCATGTGCTCCACGAACAGCGCCGCCCATACGAACACACGCAAAAGCTGGCGGAAAGCTTCTGTAAGTCGAACCCGTCTCTCGGGTGCACATGGCGGGGGCGGGCTGTGACAGCGAGTGTGTCAGTTGCGGTCATCACCTCATCGACTTTGTAGTACGATACAGCGCTTGGTGTACCTGAATTTGCCCCGTATCGTGGCATATCAACGTCTGACCACAGAAGGCTTGCATGTGTCAGTAGGGTCCACACGTCGCTCAGCACACACGTCACTCAAAGTGGCGACGCCGGCGATCACATTCTAACCGACAGGGCCCGGTCTTCAAGTTGAGCGGGAAAGTTATTAACAGACTGTGCTCAAGCATTGGCCTAATGTGTATAGGCCTGGTCTACGCTAAGCGTGTGCAAAAGAGCGAAACCCTGTTTATGGCGGAGCAGCTTTGTGGTATATCGGCGTTCGTCATCGGTATGCTGAGGTTCGCGATCAGGCGTTGCCAAGCGTTTTGTTAATTGGAACGGCGGCTCAACGACATGTGTTCTCTACGACTTTATGTGACCTACAGCTGCACACAGCGACCGGCCATGAGCTAACAATGATCCTATTGTCTCAAGAATACAGCTGGCACCAATTTTGTCGTCCGATATTTATAATGTGTAAGCATTTTGTTTAATTAAATTTTATTCTTCGAATCTACCAAAAGAAGTACTCGTAAATACGTAACAGAACATTAGGACGGGCAAATCTCATTATCAGTGACACAAATGTCCAAAAGTCCCAAAACTAGTACAATACTTTGATCAACTTTACAATTACCTAATACATGCTTGTGTTGAGTATTTAAACTAGTATAGTGCTTTCACATTATACTTAACTGCAACATGATTGATAAACTGCTTGATTGCTAGTAAGTCTTTCCATTTTAAGACAACTGTCGCACAAGTGGTCGCACAAGTGGTCGCACAATTGGTCGCAAAGGGGGGTGAGGCTAATCCATACTTCGAGCTTTGCTTTTCCGTTCTGCAAACGCCGTCAAATGTATTTACGGACAGCTAATTAGCTTAAAAGGTAAATATACCCGTATATTGGTATATGTAGAAGCTTAAGGGTGCGGAGTTTGTGTAGCTTCCTTGAATTAAATCCAGTGCCAGAGGCTGTAAGACCAACTGTACATAGTGCCCAGGAAAAAAAATTATGCGTCCGACATCGCGTGCGCTGGATAGGTGGGCAGCACCATCAACTAGTACCGCGACCGCAAGTAGTTGCTGGCAAAGGCTGGTTGGGATGTGCCATCAATTCGTGCCGCGACCGCAAGTAGTTGCTGGCAAATGTCAGGTCGGGAACAGGCGTTGTCATCATCGGCGTCGTCGAGTGCATCATAAAGTTTGCGTCTATGCCAAGACAGGCTGGGAGTATAATCTGAGAAAGTAAAACAAGCCAGAGCACAACACTGAGACGGCTTCTGTTCGAAAAATCACAACGGAGTGATGAAACCACTCGAAATGTTACTACTTCAGCAGCGGAGTTGGCACTTGGCCATGGTACTTCAGACACCACACTTGTGACTTCATGCGTTGCCACGACGGATGTTTTCGAGCTGTAATGACAAATCTGATGAATCTTATACCACAGCTGTTGCTGCCACGACGCCAAGGACGCGCTGACGATAGAAAAAGATCCCACGACATTCGTTTATTTGGTCGAGATGTTGGACAAACGCGACGTTTGGGTGCTACAAGGCACAGGATTTTGTACGTGCGACAAAAGGGAGCATCCCGCAACGTAAAGATTTACTTTGGTATTGAGCGCGATGCGTTCTCCATGCAAGCATCAGGTGCGATTGCTGCAAACGCGACCTATTGAGCAGCGCTCATTGTTGGTAAAGGTAAGCCTGTTGTTTTCAGTAAAGCTTGGTGCTACTAAATAGGCTTAGCATGGCGCTGTGTCAGCGCTATGCGGACAAAAGATAACGTGCTTGCGACCGGGTAAGCTGACTCCTTCATTTATCTTTGGTATCTTTCGCGGGCTAAAACAGACATATCCGACGCGTCAAGCGACCCCTCGCTGACTCCATCAGGGCACACAAAAGGGCGTGCAAACGCTTCAGTTTAATCCGACAGCAGCGTACTTCCTATACTCATCAAGCCACAATCTCTCGTTGCGCTTTTGAGATGTGTAGACAGCGCAAGAGATTATGTTTTAAGAGAAAGCTAAATGACATCGTCGTTTAGCAGTGATGGTGCTCTGTAGCCACAACAAGCCGCTTCTGTTACACTATACGTTTCACATAAAGCTACAGGGTGACGTACAGAAACTAAAACCAGTAAAAGGAAGGTCTACAAACTTCGCGCCTCTGAACTTCTGTATATGGTGTAAAACAGAAGGGAATTTAATTTCTAAGCTAATTAGCTGTCCGTAAAACGTTTGACCGCGTTTGCAGTACAGAATATCAAAATTTAAAGTACTGATTAGCCTCGCCTGGAAAACTCTCCATTTTTACCAACGGTTCGTTCATTTCTTAATACGCCCGTGCAGATGTGCCCACTCGCAGTGAGCACATTGCGCGCGAGCAAGGTACCGGCCGCACGAACTCATCGAGATCGTTATTGTTAAGACTTCGTTAAGAGACAAAACCCATTCGCGGGTCGCTGTAGCAGCAGGTCAGTTCTTGCTGTTGGTGTCGACTGTGCTGTAAAAAGATTGCGTGCTTTGTCCGTGCGCATGTGTTACAGTGCGAGGAGGATGACTGAAGGGTATGTATTAAGTTAATAACTGGTACGCACTTGTAATAGGTCTTACGCTGTGATAGCAGCATGTCAGATTATTATGCTCAGTGCCAATTACGCTGCCTGACGAACATGCACGTGTGATGCGCGGTTTAAGTCACCAAGATACCTTCAGATGTGTTTAACGCAAGAACTGAATGGAGTGTGCGCAACCATTTATGTGACCATTTTCTGCTTGATGGATAGACTCGGTAGCAATACGCAGTTTCTTATCCCGTGTTGCAGTTGAGTATAACGTGGTAAACATTATCTATCGCACAATTGTAGACTGGATTAAAGTATGGCACTGGTTTTGGGACCTTTGGACATTTGTGTCACTGATAATGAGATTTGCTTATACTAAGACTCGTCCTAGATAGCAAAAACGGCTTATCTGATCGAGCAACTTGAATTCAGCATCACTAAATTGTACACAGCACTCGTTTAAATATTCTGCACTTGGTCTCCGACCACCATTCGCCGTAGCAGTTTACCACTTTCTTGTTTATTAGTCTGTATTCATGAATTTATTGATTGTATGTAGTGTCTGCAGCAAAGGACCCAGAAACAACAGACTGTTAAGAATAGATATGTATTTTCCTGGCATGAAGAAGACAAAGCAGAACTTGAGGATGAAAAGAGCATCCTCTAACAAGCAAGGGGTGTGAACGGTGCAAGAAGTACAAAGAACACTTTGCCAATAAGGACATTTTGCTCACGAGCACATCAAAGCCAGTAGGATCTGAAGGTCGTGGAAGTGAGGCACGATGACTTACGCGTAGAAAGGATTTAACGATAGGGATGGCTGCTTCAACGGAGGATTCATGCACTATCTGAGGCAGCATCACGTGTGATTGCTCCTCATTGCAATGATCGACTGACCCATGCCCCCGTATCTGCAGCTCGTAAGAGCGCAATGGAGATAACAAAGGATCTAACGATCATGACCGTCACGTATAGCTCAAGCGAGCCCACAATGGAAGGTCGCATATGCAGAGTTTCCATCACGAAGATGCAAACGACATGTTGATTGTACCGGAGGCGAAAGTAAACGGCGTCACGTTCGAAGAGCCCGGATCTATCGGGGGATGGCTATGAAATACATTGGACAAAAGAGGGCGACAACGCTGTGTTACAAGCTGAAACCAATTACGCGACATTCATCGATTGACATCTACATTGACATCCACTCATTTGGCATCGCTTGTCAACCGATCGTGATCTTGTACCCGGCGTGCGGATTGTGTTTGAATGCCAACCTGCGAAACAAAACCCCGCTGACGGCGTTTGCAGGATTTCCAAGCTCCGAACGTGGAGGTATTGGTGCAGGCCTGACACGGTGTAGACACTTTCTCGCCCGCGTTGGGTCCGGAATCACATTAGACCATGTCACATGATCAGGAGCATATCTTTCGCTCGCGATGTAAGCCGTGGTCCATGACTTGACTTGCCGTGCTAGAATTGACTTGCGTTTGTTCTCAACTGCAGTATGGGGGCGTCTGGCATTAAAGGCCACCACCAATTTCGATGTTGGACAAGCATGAACCCAATCTAATTCCGATCGAGGATCGGTTAGTCAAGGGCGATTATGCTGACAGAGTACCGGCATCGTTGTAAACTACCAGAAAATTGTCGCGCTGCGTGAAGACACGTCAATGATCCGGCAGGCTAGAGAAGACGATGCGGTACTTCTCACAAGGGCTGCCAGCTCTTGTTCCTGCTGTATAGGCTAGCAGAGTCTGCAAAGACGTCGTCCATTTCAAGCCCGACCGTCGTGCAATAGTGATGACAAACGTGGCCGATGCGAGGCTGCGTGTGGACAGTGAAGCAGCGACGACAAGTTGAACACTGATTGAAACGTTGTGGTGACTTTCGTGTGTGCTTGATCGAGCTCTGGACGAAACTTTTCTCGGATACTTGCGACTGAATGAGCCGTCTACGCGTGCGTATGATCCGGCGCAACGGAACTTGCTGTGTCTGTCCGATTGCTCAGCCATCTCAGCTGTGCGTTCACGGAGACTTTAAGCAGACAAACTGCATCGGGGACCGAAAGTGCTACAAGAGCAGCTTGTTCGCCGGCGAAGGCTGATAAGTCTTGACACGGAGACAAGGTAATGCCACCCCTATTGTCTTTGTCTACGCAGCTTAGATAGTGGCGAGTCCTGTGATCGCCACTTCTAGCTACGTAGTTACGTTGATGACACTTGTTTCGTCTGTTCATCCAGGTGTCGCATCTGTACGCTACGAATTGGAATGCCAAGGTGCGTAACAAGCTCCGTGTATCCACCGACATATGTGTCGTCCAAAAGATCTGAGGCACAGTTTGGACGGAATTGCCGACAATCTGCTGTAACGACTTAACGGACACGTCGGCGCGTACACTCACCTCATTGAACGTCCACCCACGCTCGCGTAAGACCTCCTTGGCAGCCAGGTAGAACTTACACATTGGCTTAGTGAATATAGCAATCCCTTTGGTACGCTTTGTGAGTGCTACAATCTCCTGGTTGCGCTTTGAGAAAGCCAGCGAGTCCTCCAGCTCAATTTTCTCTAGCTTCATGTTACGCATATCCAAGTGCAGGCCGCACTCCTGTTGCTCGCCATCGAATCGCCCTGCTCGGTCGTTGCCCATATCTGCCATTGTCACGGGGCGGCTGGGATGAGCATCACCTATACTCTTGTAGCCCTGAGCCTGGAGCGGATGCAATCCCAACTAATTCATTGCCATACGCTGCTCGACGATATTCTTGCCCCAATTAAGGATCGGGCAAACTTTGAGGCGGCCTTTGTGCACATTCACGAGTCTCATATGCTGACGCTGCTGTGTCTGGGAGGCCCGGACGCCAACAAGCAGCACGGCGGCATCGAGTTCTAGTAGTGCACGCTGCATGGGCTCGACCTTGCGCATGTAGCCATATTGACGATGTGCGTCGTGTGCCTCTAGCTCGTTCAACTTGCCGTAGATCGCCTCCATCTGCGCTGGCGAGATTGGTGACTGGTACACGCGCACGTCCAGGTCCAGTAGCTTGGTCAGCTGTGCCGCATACTAGTATGTCTCCTCGGGAAGGTAGCCCGTGTCTACCCACACGACGGGGTACTTTCGCTAACACTGCGAGCGAGATGCAGCATGACGGCCGATTAGATACCGAAGTTCGAAGCCAATACCGTGTGCGCACCGAAAGTGTCAAACGTCCATTGTACGACCTCTTGTGCCGATAGGGCCGTCAGCCGCGTATTGAGGGTGTCAACGTAGTCGTCCATCGACGCGTATTCAAGCGCGCTACCTATAGAGTGAGAAACCATGATGATGTTCGTCTCGTGATAAAGCAAACTGGATGGAGGATCGCGAGTCAAGTGGTGATCCAAGACGAAGGTGAGGCGCTTTAGCTAATAAGGACCACAGTCCGTGATGTCACTCGGAAATACAGCCACCGATAATAGGTCAATTTCACGACTAGTGTTACATTGCGAGCAGCACTGGACGAGAACAAAGGATCCGAGCAGCACGTGTCAAGCATGAACGCGGAGAACAACGCCGCTGCGACGTCTGCGTCAGGAGTCCCCAGTATTTTCAGCCTCTACCAAGAAGGACTCGGACCCGACCAGGTACTGCAACTCTGTTTCGTGCGACAACGCGGGCCGCAACCACGTCGGCATGACCGCTCTCTAATCGAGCATGAGTTTGTGCTACCACGAGTGGAGCTTAAGATCGCGAGTCTTTTGCCTCCAATTGATATTGCGTTAGAGAACCTCGTAGACGTGTCGTCTCCATCGCCGCAGATGTGCAGTAACACGAACGGAACAGGTACGCCTCTACCAGCTACCGCACTAGAGCAAGTGCGTGCGAGCGCAAGAAGTCACTTCTTCGACCCGCGACAGGCGTCGCTACAAGACGTGGATCAGTGGGCCGCTTTGACGACGAGTGACTGGATCTATGTATGCCAGAGTCTACAACAACCCGAGCAGAAACTGGATCAGGACAACGAAATGATTGGCGTTGGAGCTACAAAGGTGCCGGATATCGTCGACGTCTGCTGGATGCTCGAGCACTGCCACAGTGACGCGTTCGCTGCTTTTGTCTGGGACCATCTCTTGATCGCGCTCTTACAGCAGTGCCTGAAGTCGTCGGACCCTTCGACGTACCAGCGTCTGTTCGCGTTGCTCGTCCGTCATCACTCACTGGCGTCGCTCAGCCCCAAGGATTTCCGCGCAAAGGTGCGGTCTCGCAACTTGCGGCAGGTCGACGATTTGTTCGGTGCAAAAGCAGAACTTGCGCTCATTGGCCATTATCGAAGCCAGCGCGCGTGAGGCGGTTTCCCTGACCATCACTCTTGCTCGGCAACGTTGAAGTTTCCCTTTTGCCGTCACCACATATATCCTCACGTACCAACGTTTTGTGATGCGGTTTCCCTGACCATCACTCTTGCTCGGCAACGTTGAAGTTTCCCTTTTGCCATGACCACATATATCCTCACATACTAATGTTCAGCGTCAGACAAGAAAACGTAAAGGGGAAGGAAGACGCAAACATGGATCGTCTTAGTAGTAAGCTCCGAAAAGGAGGTGCTGCTGCTGTGGCGGCGACGACAAAGCATGGCGTGGCCCCGTTCATAGGCAAGTTCAAGCTGCACACGTCGACAGATTCGCTGCCGCCGTTGCCGCTGCTGACGAGTACGTGCGCACCTATGGAGAATTATGCCTGTATTTAATTTGATAAGGAGGATGTGGCTCTGCTGCACACAGAGAAACGATCAAGTTTGGAGACGAAGCCTAAGGCCAAGTTCCTCAAGCCAGCAGCAGCAAGCAGCTCGACTGAGAAACCGAGTAAGAACAATGAAGTCTCGTGGGGCTCTTTCGCTTCGTGCTGCTCAGTCTTAACACTGCATCTACTTGCAGAAAACGCAATGTCCAGTGCATATGGAACTAGCAGGTTTACCCAGCCGCTGAAGGTTGACCACTCGTCCAAGAAGAGCTCTGGCTTCAGTCTCTTGAAACTTCCGTCCCAATCGAAGGAACTTGGGACATTGACGAAGGCTCCGTTTGTCAAGGGGGCGACAGCACTATCGCTGTCAAGTACCAAGCCGCTGCTAAACAAAGTTTCTGCCCAAATTCTTGCAAAAAAAAACGTACGTCGTGCAAATGAAGCTGACAAAGCGCCGTTGTTCAAGCTGCAAGCAAAAGGCGGATTGCCATTTACGTTTCGAGCCGACACCAAATCGTCTGCCGCCAAAAAGAGGAAGGCAACAGAGGCAGTTGCCGTAAAAGATGGGACGGATCTCCTTTTCTGCAAAACTAAACGCGATCGTAGCAGTATTACAGGCCCCACGTTAAAGAGCACAGCATTCAGCAAAGACAAGGACGGAGACAAACAGTTTGGGGTTGGTACTGCTAAGAACATCGGACAAAAGGATGGTAATCGAACCAGCATCTCTTCTGCTATGAAAATGGGTGACACGGATGGAATGGGCGTGAAGGTAGACGACGGTGCCGTGCTCAGAAAGCGAAGACTGCTGCTGGCTTCATCGAGAGCGGGTCCAGCGCTGAAAAAAAGCAAACGAACGTCTCAAACTGGTATGCTCTCGATCATCAGAACGTGTTGCTTTGTAATATCTGATGTAAAGTTGTGCAGTTGTAGCAGTGCAGCCGCTTCAGGACACCAAAGTGGCCGAATCGGGGTACTATTTTGCTTTTGTGCTCCGAAACGAACGCTAGTGAAGTGTCTTACGATGACTTGCTTGGTGTTGTTCAAACAGGAGACCTTTTGACGCGTGTCGAAGCGTAGATCCCAGTAAGGTCGCAACAAAATTAGAGGAGGCGCCCTCGGCATCCGCATGCCCGATGAACAGCACGCTGTCAACTGCTGAGGCATTGCCCTCGCCTCTGGAAGAGTAAGTTGCCCCCTACACTGCATTCCCGATGGTCATACTCCTAATGTGGATGATGCTTTGAGCAACCTAGCGGAACTGAGGAGGATCTTGCGATGAAGCTTCTTTGCATTGTGGTATGTGCTGCACTCGTTTGCTGTATTTCTGTCACGCGTTTTCATTCATTGCGGATACGGCTGGATCCAGGACGATGACAAGGAAGACGAGTTTCTTATTCGAGCAGCCGCTGTTCAGGAATTTACCGACCGTGTGGGACTCGAGCAGAAGCAAATCCGCAACCGTTTACTTGACGTTCATGGTACGGTGCACGTTATTGCTCAAATTGTCTTGAGACACCGTAAGTCCAACCACTTCTTATGCAATTGCAGCCAACATCAGCGAGAGTCTTCTTGACGCATTAACGGACCTCATGGCGGAAGAGGGAGGGATCGGGATCGATAAACTCGCCTGTGACATGAACATTGACGTCGACATTGGTCATGATGTCTTCTTGCGAGATGACGAAATTCAGGTTTTTTTGTAAAGGTTTCATAGGCTACCAAGCATACATAACGTTTAGTTCACAAGCCCCGCTACTAGTCTTAGTACGCACGGACCTCTTTAAAGACCTGAAGTGCACCACTGCGATAGTCATAAGCAAACACAGTCATCATCAGCTATCATCACAAGCAAGTAATGACAGACAGCAACATCACCATTCGACTGCTCATACCTTCTTGAACTCTTCAAAACTGAGCTTGTTGTCTCCACTAAGACTCGCCTCCACAAAGCATTGCTTGGCTGTTGCACGAGCGAGTTCTTCAGGTGATACGCCCATCTTGGTCTTCGTGCTATCAGTTGTCTCATACATCACTTTGAAAATTGACGTCAAGTAGTTGGACATTTCTTCCTGTGTGATATACCCGTTTCCACTGATATCGTGCAGTTGGAACGCTGCTCGAACCTTTTCATCCATGCTGGATCCTGATAACACCGAGAGCCCGCTAGCGAGCACGCCGAAATCGACAGTGTTGTTATTGTCGGAATCAAACACGCGAAAGAGTCGATGAACCATCGCATCAGCTTCATGGCGTTCTTCCGGGGAATTGTGTCCTCCTGCCAGTCGAATGATCTGATCGAAACACTTCTTGAACGCTACGAACGGTAGCTCACCAGATGGTGAGGCTTCAGCGAATATTTCAAGCACGTCATTGACCTCATACGTGTCCAACTTCAAAAGCTGTCGGACGTGCTCCATATCTGAGCTATTCATGTTCAGCGCAGACGCTGAGTTGGGGGATAGGAGCGCATCGCCGTTCGATCCCGTCATGCCGCAGATCTTATTGGACGGGAAGTTAGCAAGTGCGGTACTAACGTTGCTCGAGTGAGGCTCTTTACCGGTTCCCAGCACCGTGTCTATCGGGGACTCGGGCGGCGATCTATTGTGAAAGCTGCCGTCTTTACCAGTTTGAGGTGAAGTTAAATCGTCACCATCATGCCTCACGCAAATTTCACCGTTCGTCCATTGTCGATCGTTATGTAGTCCGGCAAGAAAACTGGTACCCATGCCTGCTACAGACGCTTCGAATCTGGGCATTGTAGAGTACCAAGCTACAAAATCGTCAAAACTCACTTTACCGGTTTCGTTAAGATTCGCTTCCGAAAAGCACTGCGTAGCAGTGATCATGGCCATCTCGTCCGGTTGAACACCAACCTTTTCATACGTCCCGGGGCTGGTCTCGTATAGTACCTTAAAAACACTCACCAGGTAGCGTACCATTTCGTCCAGTGAAACAAAACCATCGTGATCAGGACTGAGAAGTGAAAACGCAGCCCTCGTCTTTTCCTCCCGTGAGCCACCGCAAAGAACTGACAGACCGCTGCCCAATTCGCAGAAGTTGACACTGCCGTTGTTGCCTTCGTCGAAAATGACAAATAATCTGTTGAGGGCAAGTCGCAAGCGCGCTAGGCTAGTCTCATCAGTTTTGTACTGCTCGTCCACAAGCTGCTCAAAACACTCCTCGAAAACCTCACGCGATAGCGTTCCATCGTCTGAGCAACATTTTGCAAGAATTTCGAACACTTCATCTGCCGTAAACTTTTCCAGATTTGTCATCGCTTTTACGACGTCTAAGCTTACTGTATCCGGTACCTGGTGCTGGACCATCCATTGGCTGAATTCGACGAAGTTAAGACTACCATCCCTATCGAGGTCTGCTTTAGCGAAAACCTGTTCTGCTGTAATTTCGCCCAATTCCTCAGGCGTCACGCCCGTTTGTGTCTCCTTGTCCAGCTTCACCTCGAAAAGTACTCTAAAGACCAAAGCGAGATAAAAACGCATTTCACCCAGCGATATGCGTCCGTCGGAGTTTGTGTCACACAAGCTAAACGCAGTGCGAAGCTTGTCCGTCCAGCTTTCGCCGCAAAGTACTGACAGCCTGCTAGTCAATTCGCTAGCATCAACAAACCCATCATTGTCTTTATCGAAGTGAGCAAATATTCGGTCCGCCAACAGTTGCAGCCTTTCTGTTTCCTCATCAGTCGCATACCCGATTCGAAAGTGTTTAAAAGCCTGTCTGAACATTTCCTTATCCATGGTGCCATCTGCGGGCACAAAATTAGCAAACGTACTTACCATCTGCTGCGCCGAGAGCGAGCTTAATTTCATCAAGTGTTGTATCTCACACAGCAACAGCCAATCGGGGATGTTATGTTGAATGAGACAATCCATTGCCGCAGCGCTTGATTGAGCGTACCATCTACGGAACTCAGGAAAACTTAGACGGCTGTCATAGTCCAATTCAGCCTCTTCAAACGCCTGTCGAGCGGTACGTTCGCCCAGCTCCTCTGGGGACTTGCAATCGAAGTGCTGCAATATAGTAGGCGAAGCCCTCATTGACACCCTAAAGACAGAAGCAAGATGCCGCACCAATTCTTCCATCGAGACGTACCCATCGGCGTTGTAATCATACAATGCGAATGCAGAACAAATCTTTTCCTCGGAAGACCAGCCACACAATACTGACAGTCCAACCGAAATCTCACTGTAGTTCACCATAGCGTTCTTGTCAATGTCGAAGAGTCCAAAAAGGCGGTCAAGAATGAAAGTCATTCGCTGGCGCTCTTCTGGATTCATACCTTGGTTGGTTGTGATGCACGTTCGGAACCACTCGTCAACCGCCTCTCGCGATACGTAGCCCTGTTCATCGGCGTAGCCAGCAAGAATTTCAAACACCTCTATCGACAAAATGTCTTGCGGAGCTGTTTGCCGCTGAGCGTCAGTCAGGCTAAATAATTGTTCTCCGTTTTTAGCAACTTCGCCGATCCCCCCGGGCTGCTGATACCAACTCTGAAACTCTTTCAGTGTCAATCGTCCGTCATGATCTTGATCAGCCTCCGCAAAAGCCTGCTGGGCTGTGACTCGTCCCAGTTCATCAGGAGTGACACCAAGGGATTGAGCATCCGATGCTACTTGGAACAGTACCCGGAAGACTGACGTGAGGTACCGCGTCATCTCTTCCAGTGATATGAATCCATCACCATTATAGTCAAACAGGGAAAAAGCTGCCTCCACTTTTTGATCATTCGTTCCGCCACATAACACAGACAACCCGCTTGCAACCTCTCCAAAGTCTACAGCCCCGTTCTTAGAATGATCAAACAGGCTGAAGAGGCTGTTCACTATCTCTTGCAGCTCCTCCTGCTTTTCAGGCTCGGACTCCCTCTCCGTTTGAGACGACCGTCCATCAAACACTTTACGAAAGCTCCTGCTAAAAGCATCTCGCGATAACAATCCGTTTTTATCCACTTCTTCGGCAAAGATTTCAAATATCTCGTCAGGCTCGTATTGAGCAAAATTTGTAAGCCGTCTCATTTCATTCAGCGGCATCCAACGAACTAAAGGATTTTTTGCAACAGCACCTTTCGCTGCAGAACTACTGATCCCAGCTTTTGCATGAGAAGTGTACCAGATCAGAAATTCGTCGTACCTAAGTCTGCCGTCATTGTCGGAGTCTGCTTCTTTGAACGCCTGTTCGGCCGTTACCGAGCCAAGTTCCTCAGCCGACATTCCAGTTTCTTGCCGCATTTCTGGCTGCACTTCGTACATCACCCTAAAGATAGACGTGAAAAAACGTTTTGTATCCGCCTTCGAGATAAATCCGTCAGCGTTAAAATCATACAAGCGAAACGCAGCCTTAACTCTAGCATCCTGCTCTCCTTTGCAAAGAACGGAAAGACCACTAGCCAGCTCACTAAAGTCAATCTGTCCATTCTCGTCGCGATCAAACACGTCATATAGACGATTTGCTACCATCTTTGCACGCAACTTCTCGATCTGAGTCCGTGAGTGAGCCATCTCAATTATTTCGGAAAAACACTTGTCGAATGGTATCCGATTAAGCATCCCGTCTTCGTTTGCGTGCTCCGCAAAACGTTCAAATACTTCACCAACGTCGAGATTGCCAAGATTAGTCAGCTGCCGCACATTGTGTAAATCAAGAGGAGCCACGATTTCAGTAAAAGATACCTGTTCCGGCTTTACATACCACTTTTGGAACTCTTCAAAGCTAAGTTTTCCATCGTGATCCACATCGGCGACATCAAATATGTGGCCAACTGTCGCCGCTGCCAAAGCATCGGCTGGAATAACAAGCAGCTGACGACGTGTCGGGTCAAGACCATAGAGCAACTTGAAGACCGACCTGAGGTAATGGATCATTTCATCTTTTGATATCGCGCCGTCTCCGTTTGTGTCGTAGAGCTTAAATGCAGCCAACACTTTTTCGACCCGATTGGACGCTTTACAGAGAATGGACAGGCCACTCATAAGCTCGTTGTAGTCAATGATTTCTCTTTGCTCGACGTCAAACGACAAAAAGATTCGATCCATCACTTCATGTAATCGAGTATTGTCACCTGCGGATAGCATCGGCATGTGCGTGCTGCAGATGCGCATGTAGAAACACTCATCAAATATGCGTCGCGAGATTCGCCTGCCGCCGCCAGTGGCCGAGGCAAAAATCTTGGACACGTCGTCCAAAGACATGCCCCCTAGGCCGGACAGCTTCTGCGCAATTTCAATCGGAATTACACTGGTTGTAGAATGATCGCATGAGCTCAACGTAGGCGACTGAACACGTCGCTTAAGAAATGCATTGCTGCTGCCGTTTAAAACATGTTCTGGCTGATGATAAACATGCAGGTTTTGCTGTTCGAACCAAACCCTAAACTCATCGAAACTCAATCGCCCATCACGGTTGTGGTTAAATGCTCCAAAGCATTCCCTCGTTGTCATTCTTGCGAGCTGATCCGGCACCATTCCTGTCTTTAGTAAGAGCTCCGGGGATGCTTTGAACATTATCTTGAAGACTGACGTCAGGTACGACGTCATTTCGTCTGGGGATACGTAGCCGTCGTGGTTGACGTCGTACAGCGTGAACATAGCATTAGTTTTGTCTGCTCGACTCCCACCACAAAGAATTGACAGTCCAGCGCCAAGCTCCTGGACATCGACAAGTCCATTCTTGTAGACGTCAAAGAGCTCGAAAATTTCTTCAAGAAGCTGTTGTGTCTTAACTTGTTTATCTCGACTGATTTGCCAGTCTTTTGCTAGCAGTTTGTTGAAGCAACGAAGGAAAACTGGCCGCGACGTGTTGCCCTCTTGGTCAGCAGAAGCTTGGAATAACTCAAAAACATCGTTTCCGTCGTACGTGCCAAGGTTAGTCAGTTCCTTCATTTCATTCAGCACTCCTCTTGAACATACTAAAGAAACGTGAAGAAGTGGGAGAGCGTCGTTGATGGCGAAAGGCGTGGCTTCTTCGTCCGGATGCAAAGGTATCAAAGACGTGCTCTGAGTGCTATACCATTTCGTAAATTCTTCAAAGCTCAGATTACCTTCCTCATTTGCGTCAGCAAGTTTGAATGCGTCGACTGTAGTAATTCGTGCAAGCTCTTCTGGAGAAATGCCATCAAGCTGCCTCAATATGGCGGGTGACATCACAAATACTATCCGATACACAGACGCCAGGTATGTTTCCATTTCATCCCGCGATATACATCCGTCATCATTGACATCGAAAAGAGTAAACGCAGACTTAATTTTCTCTTCTTGCGATCCGCTGCATAACACCGAGATGCCGCTGGATAATTCGCAGAAGTCAACAAAACCGTCGTGGTCGGTATCGAAGTCATCAAAGACAGTCTCGATAATCCGCTGCAGCTGGTTTTTCTCCTCAGCACTGAGCTTGTGCTTGACTCTCGCTGCATGTTCCTCGACAAGTTCATCAACAATTGAAAAAAACGCTTCGCGCGACAAGACACCATCTTCATTTACCTTGGCAGCAATAACTTCAAACACGTCGCTGGGAGCTCGGTCGCACAAACCTGTGATAGACGCGACAAAACTAGCTGTTCCGACCCCAGAGCTATCATGCACCACCGACCGATGTTGAGACTTTGGTGGTGAACTCGTCGGGCGCTGTTGGTGGTGTTGCCCATGTGTCCAGAACCACAAACGAAATTCATCCAGTGACAACTTCCCATCACGATTCATGTCTAATTTCTCAAAGGCTTGCATCGCTGTGTAGCGCGCAAGAGACTTTGCATCGATCCCAATTGTTTGCGTTACAGCAGTCGGGACCTCGTACATAACCCGAAATACTGACGTTAGATACACTTCCATCTCGTGCTGCGTGATGCACCCGTCGCCATCGGTGTCAAAAAGTAGAAAAGCTGCCATCACCTTCTCTTCGTTCGAGCCCCCGCTGAGCACCGACAGCCCACTGCTTAGCTGGACGTAGTCGACAAACCCGCGTGCGTTCTCATCGAACACATTAAAAAGCCTATCCAGGAACTCGTCGACCTCACGGATGGTCTCCTGATCTAGTTTATCGATAATGGTAGAAAAACACTTCTTCAAATCGGTACGCGTAAGTACTGTCTTTGTGCCATCCTCCGATCGAGTTGATGATGCACTGACGAGTGAAAAAAGATCAGATGCACTGAGTGCCGACAGACCTGTGGTCTCGCGCAGAGTCATTAGATCCACACCTCTTCGCGGCTGAAAACCAGCCGCGCGATTCTTGCTGGCTCCGTTGTTGGCGCACTTAGCAGCAGCGAGCTGTGTAGGTCCAGGCTTCAAGTACCATGTTCGAAATGCTCCGTACGACAACTTTTCCTCGCGATTCAATGTGGACTCAGCAAAGCACTGGTTTGTCGTCACAATGGCCAAGTTTTCTGGATCCACGCTACCATGCAGCAAGCGAATTAAAATACACAAGCAAAACACACGTCCGCACATTATACAACAATTTTAGTACACGCATGGACGCACGACAGCCAGTCTTCTTCTATCCCTGTTACCCACGTACTCGTTCTGTTGGAACAGCTCTGGCGACACATGGCTCATTACCTGGAAAACTGCCGTCAGGTACTTGGTCATCTCTGGCTTCGTCAAAAATCCGTCCTTGTCCATATCGTAGAGCTCAAACGTCAGTTGAATCTTCTCATCAATTTCTCCGGCTGCAAAAACCGACGCGGCGCCTAAAAATTCCACCACGTCCACGACCTCCACCTCATCAGGTGGACTCTGCAACGCAGCAAAGAGACAAAAGAGTCGCGTAAACATGTCGCGCGCCTGGGGATCGTAGCGTCCCGACTGCGACAGGATCTTTTCCAAGCACCGCTCGAATGTTCGTCGATCCAATGCGCCAGTGGGACATGATTGCGTAAACACATTCATGAGCTGCAACAGCTCAAAGTCCGACAAATCGATCGCCCTTGCGGGCTCTGAAGTAGCAGTAGCAGCACCTACTCGCCGACGTCGTGGCTTCGTCTCCTGTACCTCGTCCCGTCGTCTCTGCGTCGTGTCTTGAGTCACCACAAGATACGCGTCAGCCTCAAATAATTCGGGACAGCGACAGAGCAGCGACAGCGGATAAAACACGCGACTGGCAACGTGCTGCAGCGCCACGGGCGTCTTCAAAGTGTCGCAGCGGAGCGACGAAAAGCCTGCGGTGATGCACTGCAGGAGCTCCTTCACTGGCGTCTCGGGGCAGAGCAGCACGTCGTGCGCTTCGTCGTTTAGCAAGAGCGTCACGGCGCTCACTCGCTGCGGCATTGCGAGTCCGCGTCGAAGGTCGGGGAGGTAGGTTCGTAGGCTTACTTCACGTCCAAACGTGAGCTTTTTTTTGTTGTTTGGTCTTTTTTAAAACGCACGTTGGAGGGAGATGGATTTTTAATCTGATGGAGCGGCGCAGCGAGATTTTCGACAAAATGGACGCGCGGAAAATACTATTGTTGAATGGAACGTGCTAGACCGTTTGGTAAGTGTGGACTGTTAGAAAATTCTGGATTTGGTATTCGATTATCCGACGAGAGAGATTTTTGTGTGCGAAGCATATGTCAAGATGAGGCATGCCGATTTCTGGATAAAAATCGTGGGAGAGCACCTCGTCGATATTTACGAGACCATAAATCGCACCTCATTTTTTTGGTCAAATCCCCTCAGTTTGAGATAACGCTATATGATTGGCTGATTCTGAGTCACGAATAGAGGGAAGAATATCGCTGACAGTTGATTTTTGGTCAGTTTTGGTCGTAATCATTTAAAATTGAACCTTTTATGCGCAAAAATGTCGTGTGGTCGACGTCATTATCGGCTTTTTCAGATCAGTCAGCGAAATCCTTAAATTAAAAGACGTGAGTTAGTTTGTGAGTGTAAAGCCATCATATAAAACCAAAGCGAGCAACTGATGCAACGAATTCGTTAGAATTTGTGAAGTAGATTCGGCCTTCGCATGAGGGTGGGTCGCAATGCACAACGATATAAAAGCTTACAAAAAAAGCAACATCAACACCTACAAAATGAAACGAAACTAGTTTATGGGTCAATAAAACCCTCTCAGTACGAGTCTATAAACATTTTTTAGGCAATATCACTCGTGCATTTCTGAAATAGACCCTCACTTACACGAGCATGCAGTTACCTCGGCTCCATTAGCAGCACCATCAGCTGGGTTATCATAAGGCAATAACGCACTTGCTGCGGTGCCTAGACAGATTTGTGATAACAAGTGATTACGTTCTAGCTACACATGCGCTTGTGCTCCCTGTGCTCGACCTGTTAGAAAACGACATTGTTACCCGTAACGGTTGAGGTAAAGGTTGTAGCAACGGTTGAAGTAACGACTGACGACTTGGAGAGATGTAGGAAGATTAGTGATTGAGTGGACAGCATAGTGGATGGTTGATTGATTGGATAGGAGTGATGGAGAACAAGAACAACTAGTCCACCATCGTAGCAAGAAACGATAACACCAAAAACAATGACAGAATCCTTTTACCACAGCGCTGCAGACTTCTTCTCATCGACTACTATGAGCGAACAGGTTATGAGCCCAAACGGGTCGTCTGACGACAACTACACGGCACAGGCGTCGCCGACTACCAGTCACGCAAGGGCTGCGTCGGAGCCTGCCGTGGTCGTACCATCGCACGCTCACGCAAGGAGAGCGGACAACGATGCGCTGGAGAAGGTTCTCAAGTTGCTAAACGGCATGGACGAGCGCGTTAAGTAGATGGAGCTGTCCCAGGCAAGGATTGACCAAGACGAGCGCATGCGTGGAGCAGTGGACAGCGGAATGTTTACCTCAATGCTTGGCGCGGACTTCGCGGGCAAGCTCCACCGTGACGCGCTTGACTGCTCAGACTTGACAAGCCACCAAGCGCTTGTGTGTCGATCGTCAGCGTGCGCAGCGCGCACAGCAGTTGCCTGACCAGATACCAGCGTATCAGCCTTCGCCTATGCCACATCGACAGGAGTCACCAGCTTCGCCGATGCAATCGCCTTTACCAATTCAGTTTCGAACGCCCGACGCAAGGCAGCGCAAGCTCTCGATACGGAAGTTCGATGGGACCGAAGTGTACGTCGGACTCGGGTCCGGCTTCTTTGACTGGGGCAAGACTTTCTGGAGGCAAGTAGACATAGCTCAGGAGTCTTGCGGATTCCTGTGGACCGAGAACGTCAAGACTGATGTTCTTGGCCAGTACCTGACTGGCACAGCAGAGCGCTACTTCAGCAAGCAGGTCGACACGTGGTGGGCCGTGTTACCGACTCTCCAGTACGTGATGCAGCGCATGCTTGATACATTCAAGACGACAATCACCGCAGCCCAAGCAATGAAGCTGTTCACAACAAGGAAGGAAGGCAAGCGCTCGTGGCCGGAGCACTACCTGTACCTAGTCGCAGTCAGCGATGCGGCTGGTGGCGCTGAGCAGCAGGTACTTGATAATATCGTGCGGTATGCATCGCCCGAGCTGTCGACGATTCTGATGGCCAAGTACGAGACGCATCGTGTCGACTACCTAGTGCACGCCGAAGAGCTCGCACATTTCGCGCAGGCAATCGAGATGGAAGGTCGACCGGGACGCTTCTTTGGAAAGGAGGTTGTCGCCCACGTGGATGAGCCCACACCGCGAAAGGAAAAGCGTGCCTGCTATGGATGTGGCAAGATGGAACATGTTAAAGCCGACTGTCGTAGCAGGAGGACTAGCGACAAGAACAGCAGCCGTCGCGGTAAGAGCGGTGGCAACATCGTACTTGCGATTGGCGAAGGCATCAGCAAGAAGGGAAAGCGTCATGCCAAGTGTAATTTGAAACTGGCAATTAGCAATGACAGTGACGAAGAAAGCGACGACTGGATTCTGGACAGTGGATCCAGTCGCCACATCGTCAACAACGCGTCTCTACTACAAGGTGTGCGAGACTGCGAGCACGAGTGCCACCTAGCCGACGACGAGGTTATCAAGCTGTCGCGCGTCGGTAGCGTTGTACTAACTGTGAAAGCAGAAGGACATGAGCGAGATGTGACTCTGACGGAGGTCTACCTCGCACCGGATCTATCGAGAAATATCATGTCGTACGGCAAGCTTGAGCGCAAGGGTTTTGGACTTGTCTACGACGGTACGAAGCGCGCACTTGCAAGACGCAGCAATGGAGAAGTCGTGTTCGACATAAAAATGGAAAACAACGTACTATACGTTAAGACAGTGGCACCGACCCGCGCAGGGACACCACACGATGTGCTGATGGCGATCCTAAATCAAGATTCGACGGATGTATCAGCCATGGATGTCCAGATTGGCTCGCTCAACCATTTTCACCAGCGTCTGGGTCACTTGGCGTACGACACAGTCGAGCGCATGGCAAGCGATCCAGAGTCCGGCATAACACTCACAGATCGTGCGAGTCCGACGTGCATTTCGTGCGCCCAAGGCAAGCAGACGAAGAACGCACAGTCGCATAAGGACACGGGTGCTAACTCACCTATTGACCGCATTGGTGCGTCCCCATTTGTTCCGATCTCAAGGGTCCGATGACCCCCAAGGACCGGCTCGGAAACCGGTACCTCGTCAATTTTGTGGACCATAAGTCCAATTACTGTCGCTTCTTCCTCGCTTAAACGAAGGACAAGGCCGCGAAGAAGTTCGAACACTTCTTGGCATTCTTCGAGCGCCAGTTTGAGTGCCGCATCCACGTGCTAAGGACGGACGGTGGTGCCGAGTACGCGAATGTCGACCTGTTCTGTAAGTCGACTGGTGTCGCAAGACAGGTCAGCGAGACACGCAACCAGGCATCGAACGGCAAAGCCGAGCGCATGCACCGAACGGTGTTAAACATGGCGCGGTCGATGATCTTTGCGAGTTGACTTCCCGTGTCATTCTGGGGTGATGCGGTCGAATATGCGGCGTACATTCTCAACCGCAGCCCGACAAGTGCGAACGCGAAGCGAGCGTCACCATTGGAAGTGCTGACAAAGCACGCGCCTGACTTGCGAGACATAGTATCATTTGGCTCTGTTTGCTCTGTCTACCGTGATCCACGCAAGAACTCTCTGGCGAGGCGATCGCAAGTCGGTATCATCATCGGACGCAGCGATTAAACCAAGGGCTACAAAGTGTTCCTTCAGAAGGAAAACAAGGTTACTGTCACGCAGCACGTGAAGGATATTGAGACGCTCAGCGAGGCACAGAACAATCAGTTACAGAGGGCGCTTGACTACGAGGATCAAGCAGGTGCAACATCAACAGAAACAGCGACGGCGACCCTGATGTCGGCAGACCCAGCTCCGACATCGAAGATACACAGAGGAAAGAAAAAATCGAAGTCATGGACGCGTGCAGCACACAGGACGCGCAGCGCGGCGAAGCGTTCGCAGACATCTGGGGTTCAGGAGGAGCCATCACGAGACGAAAGTGTGGTGGCATACGTAATTGAGCGAGACCCCAACAATTATGGGGAAGCGATACGCAGCAGCAAACACGAAGGCTGATAGAAAGCTATGCGTGAAGAGCTCGAAGCGCTCGAAGACAACGGCGTGTGGCGCTTGATCAAGCGGCCATCCGGAAGCAACACACTACACACCAAGTGGGTATTCAAGACGAAGACCGACGCGCACGGCTACCTCGAGCGACTTGTCGCGTGAGGAAACGAGCAGGTCTTTGGTATCGACTACCAGCTCACCTTCGCGGCAGTCATGGACATGTCTACGGTAAAGGTGCTTTTGGCTCTGGCGGCGACGTGGGGCGTACCCGCTAAACACGGTGACATACCGAATGCGTATGTGAAGGCGGACAAGGAGCCTAACCTCGAGGTACTGCTACAGGTACCGCAAGCCATGTAAGTCGACGACACGACACTGAAGAAGCTAGGTGCGGCAAGCACGAAGGAGCTGGCACTCGAGCTTCGAAAGATTTTATACGGCCTCAAGCAAGCCGGACGACTCTGGAGCCAGCTCCTGCATGCGAAGCTATGCAGCGCAGGATTTACACAGTGTGTTGCAGACATGTGTCTCTACTGGAAGCGTGACGGGAAGGATACCGTCGTGGTTGGCGTCTACGTCGACGACCTGCTTGCAACTGGCACCGGAGCAGCTGCGGTAGATCGGTTTTTTGCCAGTCTCGCGAGCCTGTCAATCAAGGACCTCGGCCGTGTGAGTAAATTTCTCGGTATGAGAGTGGCGCTCGATGGCGAAGGCGGCTACGTACTGGATCAGGAGGAGACGATCAGCGACTTGCTGCAAGAACATGGCCTCACAAACGCAAACTCGACACTTGCGCCGATCGGTGCCGACTGCTATGAAGTGCAGCCGATCGACAGCGTGCAGCTTGAGGCCACAAGTACAAATGGAGCACCTACAATTAGAGACTTCCAGTCGCTCGTCGGATCTCTGCTTTGGGTCGCGCGTTGTACGAGGCCCGACATTGCGTTCGCCGTTCACAAGACGACGCGACAGACGCACCAACCGCGGCTTCACGATTGGAAGCTCGCGAAGCGTGTGGCTCGCCACCTTAAGGGGACGAAGACGATGAAGATTAACATGCAGCCAAAAGATGTCAGGTGCGCGTCAACCAAGCTCGAGCCATTTAGCGACGCCGACTTTGCCGCAGATAAAGCGACAGGAAGTCGTTGACCGGAGGCATCATCGTCCTCAACGGCATGGCGATCAGCTGGAGCGCCAAGAAACAAGGTGGCGTGTCCCTCTCGACAATGGAAGCCGAGTTTGTGGCGGCGTCAGAGATCGCTCGTGAGCTGCTGGGCGTGCGCGAGATGCTTATCGAGATTGGAATGGCGCCAGAGTTACCGATGTTGATGCACGTCGACAATCAAGCGGCAATTCGACAGCTCGAGGGTGAGGCGTCGTCACTCAAGGCAAAGCACATTGACGTGCGAGTCAAGTTTGCCTGCGACTTTGCTCGGCGCGGGATCGTGCGTGCGCAGTATGTGAGATCGGAGCTAATGCTCGCTGATCTGCTCACGAAGGCACTTGACCCACACAAGCTGGCGACGATGCGCACTTTGGTGCACCTCGGTTTGAACGGTAAGTCGTAGCCGAGGAGGAGTGTTAGAAAACGACATTGTTACCCGTAACGGTTGAGGTAAAGGTCGTAGCAACGGTTGAAGTAGCGACTGACGACTTGGAGAGATGTAGGAAGATTAGTGATTGAGTGGACAGCATAGTGGATGGTTGATTGATTGGATAGGAGTGATGGAGAACAAGAACAACTAGTCCATCATCGTAGCAAGAAACGATAACACCAAAAACAATGACAGAATCCTTTTACCACAGCGCTGCAGACTTCTTCTCATCGACTACTATGAGCGAACACGACCGTCTTTATGTACTTCTGTATGCTCTTTTGCGGACCAAGATTGTACATCCGGAACAGCACAGGAAAATAGTAATTTATAATTTTACATATATTTTAGCGAACAGGTTCATTAAATTTATAGCACGCGTCGCGTGCACGTGACATGAACGATTCGAATACGCTTTAAAACGAATAATAAAGAAACGAGTAGTATTATAAATCAATGGCACAGAAACCTTCCACATCTCGGACCATTTTGAAGCAATAGTTTGCAAATCCTTCTTTGGCAATGATTTGCTCGACAATGCTAATGAACTGATGCCAATCATTGATAAAAAATCCCGATAATGGTTAGGAACCATCGCAATGGTTTTCTTGGACTCCGAGCAATGCTTTGAACAGTTGACAATTATTGCTTAAAAGTCCAAACAATGGTAATAACTATCAGCGATGGTTGCGTTAGCCATAAAGCAATGATTGACAATGGTTGTTCAGCGTCATCATCTTGACGACGCAGCGCTAGTTCAATACCTTTGGCGATCATGAAAAAAACAAGAACTAGCGTGATTCTTCTCTCTCACACGCGAAAACTTTCTATGTAATAAAGATGACGAGAAAGAGCGAGTGGTCTGTCACTCACACACACTGATATTGTCATTAGTTTTTGCTGCGAGAGTTTGTCATTATTAAGGAATGCATCATTGTGTAAGATTCATCTTCTGCCCTTCTTTTCGCTGAGTCGATGGTCATTACAGAAAAAGCTAAAGCGGCAAAGAATTAAAAAAGTAATGTAGCATTGATGAGATGGATTAGCGCCTGAGTAGTAAAGATAACAGAGAGAACTGGAGAAGAAGAAGAACAAAAGCGGTAAGATCATACACGAAGGCCATTTGTATATACTACTTAAAATTGACAAAGAAAAGAGCTAAGTATAAGGAGATGACGATGGTCCTGCTACTACTTCTTCTTTTATGCAATGTTTTCATCAATCTAGTCCGGAAAAAAATTGGTCTGAATGTTTGCAAAGTTCACTGCACACTCATTATCACCAGCGGTATCTCCATCATCTCCCGGCTCCTCGAAATCATCAGCATCATCATCAGATTCACTTTTCTTTGCCACATGTACTTTCTTAGAAGATGGTGATTCAGAAAATCGATTAGGAAAACAGGAGTTGATGTTAGCTCTGCGAAAAGCAAGAATTGTTGGAGGAATGAGTTCATTATAAGCAGCAAGAAATAGAACTATCTCCATGGATGGAGCGTCAATGCGACTACATCGCCCGGTGATCAGAAGCCCAGCCTTGCTAAAGTCTCGTTCGATTGCAGCTGCGGATTCAGGATGTCCAAAGACAGCTTGCGGTACCTTAGATAAGACAGGATAATTTCGAGCGGCTCTTATTCAATACGTAAGTACGTCCTTGTAGAGTAAAGATGAAAAGGACCGTGTTGGAAGTAGCGCACAATTTTTCGTTGGCTTTCTCAGGGGGACTTAAAGGCTCTGTGCGGTCAGCTCCAGCTTTGTCATCACACAAAGGGTCGAGTATACCCAATTCTTTAGGATCCTGTCTCTCCTCATCAGCTGACTTTGTCAAGTCGGTCATCCTTTTGCCTACAGGTGATGTGGCTTTACGATAACGCTTGTCGTTCTGCGCGATGTTTATCTTCTTTTGATTGTCTTGGTCCCGTTGTTTACCAGCGAAAAACCTTATATTAAGCTTTCGCTTCGTATCTTCGCTAGCATCTGCTTTCTGTGAATCTTGTGGCATGATGTCTCTTGCTTTTAGCTTTGTAATCTCTCTGCATGCTCGATCCTTTACAGTAGTAGAATTTCCGCTACCCATAATCAGATTAAGATAGCCCATCTTCCTGAAGCATGGGTAAATACACGACGCCATGTCAAATAGAACGCTTGACCGTAAAGGGTTAGCATGATTTCCATGAAATCAAGAATAAAAAGCCTCCTACAGCTTTCGCCAAGTTTCTCCTACTGTGAGGAGAGGCTTTCATGAGCCGTTTGATAAAGCGCATACCTTCCAGTATCACTATTTACATTAAAGATTTCAACAATTGTCAGCGGACCTTGCAAATTTATGAGACCCTTCTTCATCTCGGCAAGGGTCACAACGTCCTCTGTCATAGTCGGATAGCTTGCCCCCGAAAAGTATTCACTAGACCAGCAAAAGACTCCTTTAACGAATAAAGCTGTAGAATGTTATCCTAAAATCAGCTTGAGGAAATTTCATGACGAGTTAAAAGTAGTAAGCCTGCAGAACCTTCCACAGATTTAAGACTCTCTCAAGGAGACGAGCAGTACTTGTCCAACGCTGCGGGCAATTGTTTGGAAGAATTGAGGACATGTTAATGATCTCTTATGTAAATTCATAAACCTCGTCTTCACAGTGCTGCTCTTGTTAAAATTCTCGATATAATTCTTTACTTACATTATAAGGTTTCTTGTCTCCTTGTTTCTCGATTTCGCAGGGTCTAAAGTGGACCCCAAAAGCCTCAACAAGGGCGCAAGTTACAAGGTATGAAATTTACCAAACCCAAGGAATGTTTGTCACCAAGCAGGACATACATACACCGCTTGAAATCAGAACCGCTGTCAGACGTTGAGCCCAACGTTTGTCGCGCCAGATCTAGACCACATTGATCGGAAACTTCTTGGCCCACACCTTGAGAACTTAAGTAGCCGGTAAATTTAGGCGAAATCGCTTTACTGCAAAAAGATGGCTTCTTTGAGCGAACTTATAATCGACAAAGAAGACGCGTAGTCCAAGATGTTTCTCTTTTAATGCTTTAAATGTTCATAGGTCCACATTTAAAATAAATAAAAGGGAGCTGAGTTTCACTTTCTGACGTATGGCGTTTATGAACACTCCCTTTGTTGCGTCTTGCATTTTTGTGATGTGATGCTTGACCGCCTTGGATTACACTTTCTTCAAAAATGAAGCGTTTTTCTTGCACTTCACGTTGCAAATATCTGCATCGTCCGTAATAGAGAAAGGACTCATTTACATTCTTGACGATGTACCTTGGTCCATTGAGCAGCGTAGTACCGCTTGCGTATAGTCTTGAAACTCTCCCTCATTTTGGTCGCAATAAACAGACTTTGTGAGTCTTTTTTTCCAGCATCTTCATCAACCTCATCGATTCGATCTGATGGATCTTCTACAGTTGAGTGCTAACGATGGATGAAATTTCCCTAATTTATCATAGTAAAAGCACTTGTGTTGCAACGTATGAACTTGCTAGGCGAAACTTTTCCGCAATTCGCCCCTTGCTCACTTTCTCAGCAGACAACGGGACAAATTAAATTCATTTAAGTCAATGGCAGTATTGATGCCCTTGATTGACCTATTGCACGCCTTGTCAGGGGCAAGACCCAGCTACTTAAAACCCATAGGGACCTTAAAGTTGGCACGCGCTTTTGAAACTCTAAAAGGACTGGTGTGAGTTTTAAAGAAGATACAAAAGAAGCGCCGTTTTCTCGTCTTTCTCATCAACCATAGCGAAAGCTGTGGCACCTTCGGCAGTGCTCACTTCTCTCCTTTCTACGGTAGTGCAAGAGGAGCTGAAAGAGATATCCATGGCAGTCCGACCATAAATGCCACTTTTTCTTTTTCGCTTTCCATCAGCTGTATACCGACTGCACGAATCGTTGCCACCATGGTAAACGAATGTTTTGTCGGAAGTAGAATTTTGATATCAGGTATCTACCGCATTATCGCAACTTGTTGTCGAGAAATAGCAGCTTATGTATGAATAGGTTTCAAAAATGGGGTCGAGTAAAAAATTGGATGGTGTGCAGTAGCAAACGAGTACTTCATGATAGTGACTATCAGGTGCTTGTATGTGGTCGTAGATACTAAGCCTGTTATAAGCGATTGTAGTAGTTACATGTAAATCTTTTTACTGGTTTGGACCAGTAGCAGTAAATGATATCGATAACAATAACAATTTTGACGATTACCAATCAATGTTTGCGTGCCCAACCAATAATCTATATGATTGTCAATAGTTGTCAAGTTGACTACACAATGGTTTGGGGCATTGTCAATTAGTGTTAAGGGTCAATTCAGGTCAACATTGACATTAATTGTTCAGCAGCATAAGCAATGCTGAATCAACATACTAATGGTTGTCTCGGGATTGCAACAATGAATGCAAAGAATTTTAGTGGTTTACGTGATGGTCCAACCTGTGAAACTTTTGCATGTAAGCGTGATGGGAATTGCTTGATGTTGTAGAGGCGTCGACATTTTAAAAAGTAATAAGCGATTGAGAGCACATGTGAAGGTAAAAGCTTCGAGTCCGCAAACGTTCCAGGCAAAGCTTGACATCATCTTGTGCTAAATAACACGTAAGAGCAATTACAAACTAGACTGAATTAGGGTAAAAAGATGCTTGAAACCCGATGGTAATGATATAATACCGGCATGGCATGTCTCTAGATTAGTAAATAATGTGACGGTAAATAAGACTGAGGGAAGATTAAGGGCTCCTGTTGTATACTGCCATTTTTAGCGGAGGAGTAGAGGAGCAAAAAAACACGGTGCGTTTGCACTAAACTTAAAGTTGGAAGCAAAATCACGTGCAGTACCCCCTCCCGTAAGATATGGTGTTGTCAGATAGACCATTCGACTATCTAGCGGAGTGTTCTGGCTGATAGCATCACTGAAGTGGTACCATGTGTAAGTCAGATTAATTACACATCAAGATAAAGCAAAGTACACTC